CACCAAATCTTCACTTAAATACAGGCTGAGCTCTAAGAACCCTTTGCTGGAACGCTGCCTCCCTCAACCACAGATCCCCTTTAGGTGCTATCTTAAACTGCATTTCCAAGATTAATTACTCCACTACAGCATCCGTTTCCTGTCCCATGCCAACAACATGACCTTGAAAAAGTGGAAAAACAAGCCCAATTCTTCTGCCTACAAGGCAGTTCTTCCACAAGGAAAGACAGCACCTCTTGATCACATCTCCAGACAACAGCCCAGTACTTCAGGCACTTTTTCAAGCATTATGTTTTGTGGTTTGATACCCAGAAATGGCTCTGTACTCAGGCACAATACACCCTTTTGAATCACCACACACAGAAGAAAAGTCAGGCTATTTCTATCTGAGTCTTCTCAGATCATGAAAACAGGCAGGTGGCACAAGGGTATTTCAGATTATTCCTGAGAAACATGAGAGTGCAGGTGTGATGGACAAGCACCAGCCAGCCAAGCCCAGGGGAGCACAGGAAGAGCACAGCAATGCTCCGTGGTGGAGCAAAGGACTTAAAGACTATCTCAGAACCTGTAATATCATCAATGCAACGGTGCTGGACTGGTTTTCTCCACCTGACTGAACTCAGCTGGCTCTGGATCAATCTGTGCAGCCTCCTGTTCCCACAGCTCATAGAACAGTGTGCCCTACAGCTTGGGCCATCCCTTCTTGAACCTGTGACCTTCAGAGCTCATTTGAGGTCAACCACCATCCTTGTTCACAGGAGCAGCTCCATGTCCCCAAAGATGGAATACTAGAAAATGCAAAACCTGATACAATATCACCATGGCCAATGTAGACACCAGCATCAGAAAGGATTTTTAACCATTTTCTATTTCCACTGATTGGCGGGACAATAAGGAATTGGAAGAATACTGTTTTGTCACAGAAACTGCCCAGATTTGATTCTCATTCACCTGGAGAAGAAAGTTTAGGTGGGAAGGAAACTGAGGGCCATCTTCCTCCTGCTACAGGAAATGTTAAAAATTAGACCTCCCAGCACCTGAGGGCAACATTAAAATGGAAAACAAACTCAACCATGTTGATCTGGCCATCATCCCTCCCAGGCTGCCTCTCAGGACAAGGTGAAGCTGTACATGGAAAAGGGAACAACCTACCTAAATATATATCTAAATACATATATATATATATATATTTAGATATAAAGAACCCCTTGTTTGTGATGTGTCATTGCTTGACCACATCTATAAAATACTAGTCTGATGGATGGAGATATTTCAGAGACAAGAACTGCTGAGAAATTCTTGCAGTGACCACCAGGACCACTCACCCCACTGGGTCACTCTCTTCCTCCAGCAGGAAAACTGAGGTAGGAGTTGGCTTCCCATGGAAATATGAAATAGAGAAATAGGAAACAGTCTAGTAAAGCACAAGGTTGATCACAGAAGACCTATGGACAGTGGCATACCCACCAAACAGAATTAATCCACACAGTGCTAATTGCCCAAGTAACACTAACTGTTGTGAGGTAGCTTGATCCCATTCCCCTGCTCCCAACACATTTATGAAACACTAAAATCCACAGACAAGGCCTCATAGTATACCACAAAAATCAGGATCCATCGTTGCTAGAATCAAACTGCAAGGCTTGCTAGTGGGATTTTAGCAAGGAAATGGAAATCACACAGGCATACAATTGTTCCGCCTCCCTGTTCGCCTTCACACATTTCTCACAGGTCAATTTTAAAGAATTAAGTCTTGTTCAGGGAAACATCTGGTGGCTGTTGCTAGAGGAAACCGACTATCTGCAACATTAGAGCAAAAATAATGAGTTACATAAAAGCCAGACTGCATAAGCAAGGACAAGTGTTTTGCCCGTCTGTGAATCTCAAAACTCTTACATGAAACCTCATGTTTAATTTCTGGGTTAGAATACAATGAAGTCAATTCACATGCATTACAAAACCCATGAAGATTTAAGTTTTCTTTAAGTTTATGAGGATATAATTGTGCTGTACTAGAATTAACTTTCTAGCTAGCAACTGTCCTAAAAATTTTCTGCAAACAGAGTAGACAGATGAATTACAGCTTAAAAATGGACCATTTCAGCTTTAGGCACTTTCAGACTCAGTTCAAGACAGAACAAGTTCAAGAGCTAGAGAAGAGGGTTTTTGTCTTTCACTATTTGATCCAGTTGTCCCATGTCTAATGGAAGAATTTTTTTTCCCTTAATGCTACAGATCACCTTTTCCTCAGGGCTTCTCAGAATCAGGAGACCAACATTGACCAGCTGAGGCTGCATTGGGCTGAACAGGAGGAGTGATTTCATGGGAGGAGTTCTACTGTATCACCATACACGTCCACAAGACCAACCAGAAGCCTTTAACATTTAAGATCTTTGATGGGGGCTCTCCAGCTCCTGAAGTCCCACAGCTGGAGGGGCAAATTTCCCAAGAACATCTCCAGCAGGCAACTCTAAAATACTGGAATTGCAATTCACATGATGTACCTTTCTACAAATAGGTATTGCTGGGTTTTGGGGAGTGCTAAAGCACTTAAATAATCCAGAAGCCTGATGGATGACTAATACAACTAGAAAGCTCCATGTACAAAAAGAAATTTAGGCTTCCCCACATTACCAGGGCCACGCTCAGGATGCAAGCAGGGTACAGAGGAGGCACTTACAGCCCCGACAGCTGGGTTTTGGACATCAGCTTGAGGCTGCAGCTGCTGTTGCTCTTGTTCATTTATGCCATCCAGGGAAAAAAAATTGCACTTAAGGCCAAATTCCTCAAGCTGGACTTGGCTGACTGAGCACGCTGAGGTCACTACAGCAGTGCCAAGAGCCAGCTCCTCACTCACATGGATTACATCTGGTTCTGCAGCACAAATGCAGGAGGGAAGCATCTGGCACTGGTTTCACTGGGAAGAAGTCAAGCCAGGGCACTTGGGCATCCTGAGGCAGGGAACACGCGGGTGGGGACACACACAGACAAGTAATGACATGAGGCAGAGTGCTGGCTCACAGCAATGTGTGGAGGTCTTAGAATGGGAAAAACAGCGCATCCTTAAATATTAAATTAAAATGTACAGAAAGATAAAAGAAGGGAGGAATAGGAAAACAAGCTTCACCCTAGTGAAAAAGCATGCCACAAATGCAAACCTCGGGAAATAGGTATGTCTGAATCAAAAAAACTTCCTAAGATCCCAGACATCATACAGGCAGGATATAGCAAAACAAGCCAGCGACAAAAGAAACCCTCCACAACATCACAATAGCAAAGCTTTAGACTACAGGGATTTCTCTCTGAGAAAAAAATAATGTGAAAGAAGGCCCAAGCAGAAGACACAGCCTCTGCTGGGCTCATAGAAGATACTAAAGCACTTTACAGCACCAGCCTGCACTGTTCAAACTAAACACTTTTCAACAATTAATGACACTCCTACTACTGTCACCAAAAATAGACAAATTGGTTTCAGGGAATGAAGCTGCAAAAATAATTTGAGATACAATATCAAGCAAAATTGGAACCAGATTTCTCCTCCAGGCTGGAAGCTGCTGAGAGGATGAAACTGTGGGCCCATCCACAGTGTGCCTCACCCTGCCCCCAGCTGAAATTACCAAAAGGCAAGAGCTCATGAAGCTTTCTACAGAGAAATTTCCAAATGGAAATTACAATTTTAAAAGAATTTGTTTTGTCACATCATTTTGGCCAAAAATAGAAACAACATTCCCAAAGGATGCTGCACAATTACAGCCCTAAACAAAACATCCCAAAGACTTAATCAAGGTTACTTAGTCTGCACAGAAAAAAATTGTTCATCACTACATAAATGCTTTTTCCAAAGTCCAGAAAGGGAACTCTAGCACCAGTTTCAGTCTTTATGTACACCCCAAAATCCCCTTGTGCCAAGCAGGAACTCGCACTCATGAAAGGTCACCACCCTCACCAAACCAGAATGCTCACTGCCTTATTTTCCTGAAATCAAGGGATCTACCCCCACTGGAATCAGTCCAACACTCTTACCACCTACAAATACTATTCCATTTGCCTTCTGGAGAGGAAAATTTTCCCAACAACTTCATTTTTATATTTTCTGCTCATTTCATAGGTAAGCTGTTACAGAATAGGTAACCTGGCCCTTATTTTATTTGTGACACAAACACACAGAGAACACAACAACTCTGCTCTCAGTTCACCACAAAAAGCTCTGGACTCTCTCCCTGCCTTTAATCCTGCCCAGTTTCCTTGTTTGTCTCTGCAACACTGCAGCTACCTACTTCTCAGCTCTACACGTGTCTTTCTAAAAATAATGCCAGGGAAAGGAAATCAGGGATGTAAGTTCCCAGATAAGTTACTTCAGATAAAAAATGCTGACAAAACTGAGAGGGAAAAAAAAATCAAAATGGAAATAAGGAATAAGAATTGAACAACTTTGGGTCTCTAAGCAGCCTTCCTTAGGCTCGGCAGATATTGCACTGATAATCCAGATAAGATACTGGATTTTTAGTGTCTTGCCTTATACAGAGAATCAAAGAATCACAGAATGGTTTGGGTTGGATGGGACCTTGAAGATCAGCTTGTTCCACCCCCTGCCATGAGCAAGGACACCTTCCACTATCCCAAGTTGCTCCAAGCCATGTCCATGGCAGCCACAGCTGCTCTGGGTAACCTTTGCCAGGGCCTCACCACCTTCACAGGGAACAATTTCTCACTTGTATTTAAACCAAATTTCCCCTATTTCAGTTTGAAGTCATTCTCCCTTGTCCTGTCATTACAGTTCTGGATGAACGCTCCAGATTCTCTGTAGCCCCTTCAGACCATGGAAAGTGCTCTGAGGTGTTTGTGCAACCTTCCCTTCCCCAGGCTGAACACCCTCAGTTCTCCCTGTTTCCATAAGGGAGGTGCCTCTTACAAATAAAGGTGAGTTTGGTTATTTTAGGAAGGAATATTTGAGCTCCAAGCTAAGACACTCCAGAATATCAAAGGCATGTGACACTCACCACAGGATGTGTAACCCACTTCTTAGGCTTGTTGTCCAAAATCACAGGGCAGTGAGTGCTGGGGCACGGGAGCAGCAGAGCAGCCAGGCACTCATATCTGTACTGGACCTGGTGAAGAAAGCACATTTTAGGAAATCTCCATGCAACAGTTCACGCCAGTGACTTCCAATCTTACTGTATTCTCAGCAAAAACAAGAAAGGCATTGTTTGGTTCCAGTTGGATATGGCAGTTTCCAAGTACTGGGGATGAAACAGCCAAACCCCACTGCTCATAGGAAAATCATTCTCCTTACCCCGTGTCAGGGGAAACTCATAGCTTTCCATGCAATAAATAATGTGTGCTTTAGCTCAGAAGACAGTGTTTCCTTAAAAAATAGATATTTCTCTCTCCTCAGTAATTGGAGGTTTGGTTTTTGGTAAACTGTGTTTCCCCACCTTGGGAAACAGGTTCCCAAACTTGAACTCCCCTGACGCAGGATGCCTGGGCTGGCTCCATCTCCTGCCCTGCTCCAGGCACCTTGGTCAGAAGGAAGCACAAGGGTTTGGATTTTTTGTTGTTTGTGACTTTCTTCCTTAAAAAACACCCTCCAGAGCACAAGGTACAAACAGCAGTTTCTGAGGGGGAGTGCACTGTAAAACAGGTGTGGAAGTCAAACCGAAATGGAACCGTTTCTGGGTATCTCTGCCCAGAGACAGCTTGTTCTGTTCTGCACTCAAAACTTGGGCATGTAACGTCCTTTGGAAGAAAACACATGGATAGTTCTAACAAAAATGAAAAATTTAAAAAGAAACTTCTAAGTTCTGAGAAGCTCTGACTATCATCAAAAGAAGATTCTTCTGAAACACCACAGGAGACTCCCTTACACAGGCTACAAGCAACCAACCCTCCAGTGGGTATCCCAAGCTAAGTTAGCACTTTATCCTTATTTTTCCAACTGTTCCAGCAAGGTAGCAGTAAAGGTCCACATTAATATCTTAAACCAGAGGGTGTTTTTGCTTTCCCCAACATGAAGTGCAAGACAGACCACAGCCACTATGGATGTGCTGCTGAGTGACACCACTTTGACTGAAGCACATGGGAATTTGATGTCCACCTCTTCCCCATCCTTCCAGGAGCTTGTGGTCAGTCCAGTCCAAGTCACATCCATGCTTCTCTGATGTTGTTCATGGTTTCTGTCCTTGAAAAGTCCTGGAGGACTGCTCAGTGGAGTTGTAGCAGACTTTCAAAGTCCTTACAAGCTCCCAACAGCTATCATTAATTAATCCTCCTCTACAATTATCCAGCACCAGCTTTGGAATGAAGCCAACCACCAGTGTGAGGAACACAAACCACTACTCCAGTGTTCAAGCAGTGACACTCATTCCTCTCAAATGACAAGACATTAGGGAGATGAATGTAGCCCTCAATATAAAATTCACTATGAAGCATTTAAGGCAAACTTTTGTTCTACATCATACTGAAGTAATTCCAAGTTATTTGACCAGGTCAGAGGCTGCAGCAAGGAAGAACCAGCCAAACCTGTACCAAACCAAGACCTAAAAGAAAGCAAAAACACAAGCATCTATTCACAGGAAAAACAGGGGTTGCAGCTTTATTCAATCATTTGTCATCCACTCCTGGGCAAAAAACTGGAGCATCCCATTAACATAACAGTCTACATATTTAAATGCTGAACACCCTTTAAGCTCTGCTTTTCTTGCCCTACTTAGAAGGAAAACCAAAAGCTGTGCATAAAAACTCCAGATGGGTTCACAGGCCAGAAAGTTGTTCATTTTCCTTATGCCAATCCCAGTGTTTGGTGGTGACTCCAAACAAGGAAGTGAAACAGAAGACTCTATTTGTAATACACGCCATGGTAAAATGATTCACATTAGGAATAAAGGTAAATAAATCATCTCATGCCATAGTAGGTTCAGGTTTTACCCAGGGGTTAGGCATTATTCATGTTCTGCTCAAAGAACAAGACGACCAGCATGTTACAGAGGATCAAAGTGTAATGTGGGAGAATCCCTGCACTGGTCAGACTTCACTTCCTACTGGCAAGGCCAAGTGACAAAACCCATCTGCACCTCATTCAAGACCTTTTTTCAACAGAGCTTTTGACCTGAAGCACAGCAAACATGACTCGCACGTTCATGCAGATGTGACTCCAGCATTTTGAGAGAACCCAAAGTTCAAAATGCAGAGCTTGGTCTCCATCCTTTCCCAGGCCATACATCCAGAAATCCTGCCCATGTCAAATGTGGCCAGGAAGCCAGGAATCTCATTTAGCTGCAAGCAGGGCATGGAGCAGAAAGGCACCTCTGGCAGCAGCAGAAAGCAATGGTTAGCCAGTGAGAATATGTGGACAGCCCGGTTAGAGCACCAGTTTATCACAGAAACAAGCCCCAGCTTCTCCCTCTCCATCCAGCCTTGATGCCCAAAGCCTGACATGATGGAAAATCCAGGGGCCATGTCCCTGGGTGAAGGGAAGAATAAGGCAGAATGAAGAATGACAACAAAAGAGGAACTATGACTAGCAAGTGGGATCCTTTCTAGCTCTTGACAAATAATTAACTCTTTTTGCACTTAATCAGCATCTCCAGACACTGAGCCCATTTCCCGTGACATGTCCTAGCATGGATGGCTCCAGAGAGGCCTTAGGCCCAGAGACACACCTGGTGCTGAACAGGCCTCGATGTTTTACATGCAGGAGTCCTTTGGGATCCTTCCATGAGGATGCTCTGCTTTGTACCAGGCACTTCAGCAAGAAGAGTTATTTATTTTTCAGAGTGCTAAAGGCAGGAGGACATGAAGCATTCAAGGGGGTGGAGCTGGGTTTGGGTTCCACACACCTGTATTCAGGACAAGCCCTCTGCATCAGTCAAGAGAAGCACAGCAGAGCTGTCTCTTCCCAGCACATGAACAACAAGCAGCTTGTTGATCAGCCCTCAAAGGCCACTTTAGGACAAAGTTCTTTGCTTCATACAGGTGAGGCACTTTAACAGAGAGACTGTGGACTCTCCATCCCTGGAAGTATTCAAGGGTTGGACAGGGCTCCGGTCTAGTGGAAGGTGTCCCTGCTCATGGTAGAGGTCAGAACAAGATGAGGTTTGAGGGCCCATTCAACCTAAACCATTATTTGAATATAACAGAATTACCACCACACTGGCTGGAGAAGCCACAATGACCCCCAAAAATTCTTTGAGCTGTCAGTGTGAGAGAACAGGGCTCCACCAGAACCTTTAAGCCTTGCTGGTTGTTTTCCACATTACCTTTCAAAGCAAGGAGCAGATGAGAAGTTTGTTTCAGTTTCAGAGTACAAACTGTGAAAAGCTAGTATTTGCTACCTAGTGTGAACAACCAGACCTTTCATCTCCTCCAGGGGCCAGGCCTGCCAGCCTGAAAAAGGAGGTGTGACTTCTGTGGTGTAGTGCTTCCAAGGTGGGGGTACAGCAAATCCACTTTTTGGCTCCCTGAGGAAGACATGGTTTCCTGCCACAGTAGGGAAGGTGACTCTCCAAATCCACTTCTCCACAGCTCCCAGAAAGCTGGTACACAGTTTTGGATCTTCTATACTTCAGCTCATTATTATTTTATTACCAGTTAGCAGCATGAAACTCTGGGTAGCACTTTGGAAAAGCTTCTCATCTTTAGGCTAGAGGTGCTTGTACTCTTCCCAAATTAAAGCACAAGAATGATATTCATATTCCAACCTAATGGACACAGCTCTGCTCCAAAGTGCTCACACCACCGAGCACAGCAGAAAAAGTGCAACGTTCCCACCAGCACTGGATGATGAAACGCAACCTCATGAGCCAACATGATGCTCCAGCACCTGTGTTGAGCTCAGACAATGAGAACCCAGCTTAGCAGGCCAGAATGTGTAATTCTTTGCAAACAGGACGTGTAATTCTACAGAAACAAGTGACTGAAAAGCAACTCATCAATCCTGGACTGGGGGAGGTTCACATTAGCAGACTCTCAATCAAAGCATTCTACACCCATATGGAAAATATGGTGTGGTCTCTGCAGAGCATTTCTGGTGTGTGGTAGAGCCCCTTCAGGACACCTCAACTCTGCCAGACAGCTTCAGCATATACCTTTAAATATATGAAGCTGAAGCCGTGTCAGGGGAGGGTTAGGTTGGACCTTAAGAAAAGGTTCTTCCCCCAGAGGGTGGTCAGGCACCAAACAGGCTCCCAGGGACAGTCACAGACCCAAGGCTGCCAGAGCCCAAGGAGCTTTTGGACAACACTCTCAGGCATAGGGTGGGATTGCTGGGGTGCCTGTGCAGCACCAGGAGTTGGATTTGATGATCGAATTCAGAGGTGAAACACCTCATGTCCTGTCCTCCAAGAGCCAAAGAGGTGAACCAAAGAACAGGGCACAGCTTGACCTCCAGCTTGGAACAGCTCCCATGCACACATGTTTGGGAAGGGAAGGAAGGGAGAAAGAATACTATGCATTTTTCCATGTCCAGTGGTTTGTATTTCTGGATCTCCCCAAGTCAATTTGAGGATCTTGAGTGTTCTGGGTGTGATTGCTAGGGTGATTGCAAGGTGAGAAGCTGGGCTTTGCTGATCCTTCTGGGTCCCTTCCAACTCAGGCCATTCTACAGTTCTATCAAGAACACTCTGTGCAGCCTCCTCCTGAGTGTGTCCAGTTCTTCTCCAGACTCACACAGTTTTTGTAGCCACAATAACCCCTGGCTACCTGAACAACATCTGAACCCACCTTCTGCCAACTCCATTTCATCCTCTTTGGACCTCATGACAGCAGCAGTGGACTGTCCTCCCACAGGCACCCGATGGTTTTGTGACCTGACTTACCCCCCATCGCTGACCCTTAATGTCAGACAGGTCTAAACAAACACTTCTTGGCAGAAGAGGAAGAGATACGAACTTTGACTGCACAGACTCAATAAGCAACATTTTGCTGTGAATAAATCAGCGACATTATCTGCCGATTATCAGTAGGTAGCAAAACCAGAAGAGCAGCAGTGAAGCAGAAAGGACCTTAATGACACATTAAGGCTGTCTGCCCTAAAAACATGGAATGTAGCAGGGTCAAAAGGGGAAAAGTCATACATTGTTGAGTAGGTTTTGCTGCCTTTTTTGCCAAA